TCAAGAAAATAAGATGATAAAAGACTAACTGGAAGACAGCTATGAAGAAACTTTATAGGACTTAAGATGAGGGATGAGGGAAACAGGAAGTATGGTTAATAGCAGGAGAAAATAGGTAGTGATTCAAAAAGCAAAGACCTGGTGGTGAAACTATGGATGTTGGAGACCATCCCATTAAAAGGAGAGACTTATTCAGGTGGGGCAAAATTATGCATAAGGCCTAGGACCAGGAGGGTCTGTGCATTATTGGTTGAAACAAAGGGGGGAAGGAAGGAAGGAGTGAGGAGATAACAGGGACAGCTGGTGTAGAGAGCAGGACCATATGGGAATTTTGCCAGATCTGGTTTCTATTGTCAGCAGTGTGCTATGCCATTGCCAACTCTAAAAAACCAAGAGGGGGGGGGGGGCTGAATTTCAAATAGTGATATGGCCTAACCAGCCAATGCTTTAATTGCAAGCTTCTAACATCTTATTGTAGATTATGCTCAGAATGGAAAGCTACATCTTCTGTGCCTGCAAAGCAAGTTTTGTTCATCTCAAGAACCTTTGGTTAATCCTTATCTCCACTATAAACATTATAGCCTTCTCCTTTAATTAATGTAATCTTTTTAGAATCCTGAAAAAGTACAACATCTTTAATTTTACCAATCAGTCCCTGTTTAAAAAGCCCTGATGTACCAGTGTTTTCTCTCCTATCGAGCCCAAATCCACCAAAATAACAAGTGCCACCATAATTTAGAGCAACATATTTTCTTTGGGGATCTAAATCTTCGAACACAATGAGTTCCTCATCAAGGTACACTTTAATGAGAGTCTTGTTTTGTGCTATGGTAACATAGTACCATTTATTGCAACAGAGATTTTTTCTGTGATGAATGAGAGGGATGGATATTCTTTCTCCAAGATTAACCAGAACTTTTAGAGTGCCATTAGCAAGACCAGCTGCAAGGAAATCATTATCTTCATTTTCAGCCTTTCCTAGCCATAAAATTAAACCTTCCATCTCACTGGTGGTAAAATTGAAAGATACTCTTGTAAATCTGAGATCTCTTCTTTTATAATTGGGATCTATGTACTTGATGTATGAATTACCCATAAATTTTGCAGTAAAAAATGAGGCCTGTTTTTCACAGTGTCGGCCTGACCAGCCAAGTCTACATGCACAACTGTATGAGGATAAACTATGATTTGGTATACAAACAGCTCCATGCAGACACTTTTGATGTGAACAATAAATAGATTGCTCACAGGTCTTCCCAATCCAGTTCTTTGGGCATGAGCAAGAAAAATCAGAGTTTTCAACTTTACATTTTCCATTATGTTTACATACTTTGTACCCACAAGGAGTTCCATCACAGTCCCCTACATTAGACCCACCCTTTGCCCCCCTTTTGGTCAGTTTCAGTTCTCTGTTATTGACCAGAACTTCTCGAATGCAGCCAGTAAAACCATTGGGCTCATTCTCAATTGCCAATGAATTAACCAGATTTAAAGACGGTACTCCCCCTATGTAGAAATCTGTGTGTGTGTCAAGTGCAGCCATTCCATTGCTAGCTTTCTGGGTTATATTGATGCCATTGAAGTACAGGTAGCCTTCATTACCAACTCTTCCTGCTTTAATTAAATGCCATGCACTACCTGTGAAGTATATGTCTTGAAAAGTCTGTAAGATTATTGTTCTGTCACCAAGGTTGTAGCGCAGTTGTACGTATCCATTTACCAAGGAGATACTTAGGAAATCACCTATGGAGGGAAAAAATGAGTCACCATTTAATGAGCAGGTGAAATATTGACTAAATATTGGCAGTGGGCTAGACATTGTATAGAGTTGATATGTGTTAGAACAAGTTGGGAGCCACCAGGCCTGATGCTACATACACTATGACTTGCTAAGTGGTGTCACCCCCTTTTGTTGTTCAAAGGCAGGCAACACAACCAGAAAGGTTTATTGGAATTGTGTCATCCTATTAGGTTTTGCCTTGTGTGTCATAAGTCGTGCAGCTCTGGTTATAAACATGGCACAGCCCTTTAAGGAGTTCAACAAAGACAAGGTAGGATGAAAGAGTCTTTTGTAATGTAGCTTAGGATAGAATAAGGGAAGGTCTTCATTGGTTCATAAAACATCCATTCTGCCCAGAACTGTATAATCTTAACAGCCAGTTTAGTGCGTGGGTTTGTTAAGCATTAGCAGTAAATTCACTATAACTAAAGTTTGTTAAGTATTAGCAGTAAATTCACTATAACTAAAGCTACTGCTATGTTCCAGAGATGCTGTAAACCTCCACAGTGACAATCAGCCACTAGGTGTAGGCAGTAGTTGTTAATGCTTACATAACTAACAGGAAAAATGTTAAGGCTTAAACTGTTAAGGCTTACATAACTATGGCTAGAGGAAAAGCTTTATATAAGGTGCTTTGCAAACGAAGCAACAGAAACCTCTTTCATTCTGTTTGGCAGCCACTGGACATAGGCCTGGGCTTTTAATCAGTAAATCTGTCTGGCTTGACAGACTCATTGGAAGAAACACATAAAACAAGCAAGATTCGTTTTTGTTCTTCCTCCTAAATCTTTCAGGGCAATGTAGTTTAAATAGGTAACATGGATGTTGCAAATCAGTTAGGGTACTACATTGCTGAAAATGTGTAACTTTGATGGAGGAAAGTGTGACTGAAATAAATGTTGATGGCAGCGGGAAAGTGATATTAAGTTGTTCCTATTGTGATTTAAGAGACCTGGGTTATGTTTCTCTCACAGTCAGCTACTAACAGCTTTGCATATACTGAAACAAGTCCCATTTACTTCACTGGAGTTTACTTCTAAGCAGCTGTGCCCAAAATTTCAATTGTTGTATTGCCAGCTTGGATTCTCATGATTGCTTATCAGTTTATCCTATGGGCTTGGCCTAAAGCCTGAGGGAAACCAGAATTTATGATATTGTGGGTGGGAAAACTATTATGCGCAGGGCCCATTCTCTATTTCAAACTGGCTGGTAAGTCCCAATTAAAAACATGCATGTATGCAATCAGTGGTACAAGCCCATGTACAGCACTCAAGCAGCCACATATATGGCATGCATGCTCCCTTTTCTTACATGCTTCTCTATCATGCACATCTGAATCAGCTTAGGATGCCAGGCCACCACCTGGGACCCCTGGGAAGGATTTTGGTAGCTTCATTTTACCACTCACCCTATTGGGGCTGCCTCGGTTCCAGAGTCAAAACCGATTCTCTGTTGATCTCGGCTCCAAGCCCTCTTGCTAATGCCTAGTTCTAAAGGTTGACAAAGTGACACAGCAGTCTCTGCCCGTCACCTTGCTGCAGCATCTCAGCAATGAAACTTAATTCTAAAGGGCTTTCATCACAGGTGTCTTTGCCAAGCAGGCAAGGCTTGCTGTTGCCATCTCCATGGGGAACTCAGAAGTGATCAGCAAGTGTGCCTTTTGGAGGCAAGCCTAAGCAGTCCTCCTCTCCTCTTGGTTCCATGCTAGCCTTCAGAACTATCAATGATGGTTTGGGGCTCCTTGGCTACTGCTATTTTCAACATCAATGATAAACCTGCACCTCTAAGCCTAACATTTTTGTAGGCTATTTTTCCTTGTTGGTTTCATGTATGCTCACACTCTCTTCTTCCTTATCAGGGAATGACACTGACTCACTGCAGGGATCTCAGTCTCACTGCTGCTTCTAGGAGAGAGCTTTTATTTCAACTGGGTTCTGACTGTTTCTGAAGTCACTCTGATGTGATACCATTTGTAGCAAATGCCCATGTGGCACAGTGGTTAGAGTGTTGGGCTAGGATTTGGGAGACCCAGCTTCAAATACCATTCTGCCTGAAAACTTGTTTTGTGACCTTGGGCCCATCACATTCTCTCAGCCTGACCTGTCTTCTGGAATGGAAAAGTATAAAATGTTATAAGCCACTTTGAGTCCCTGTTGGGGAGTAAGATAGGGTACAGATAAGCTTCATACCCATCTTTTTAAAGGACATCTTACATTTCTACTCAAAACAGCTGCCTTACTAACAAGACTAGTTTGCCACCTAGTGGTGTATAATGCTAAAAGAGCTAGAACTTCTGGCTGCCAGATAATTTTGGATCTCCTGACTATACTACACATACTGCCATACAATAATAATTATTATTATTCATGGTCTTCTGCAAAAGTAATTTTTTTTAATTTTAGTACAAGTACTCCACATAGTCATGGAGTGCACTGTAATTATGTTTTCCTTGACTAACAGGTACCAATTCGTAGATACTCTGATTGGAGGCCTGGCCTATTTGGCCTTGCCCCCACAATGGGACATTCCATGCCCTGTCCTTTTCTGCTTCTTTCATGACAGGGATCCCTGTCATTGGGGAATGCCCTTCTAATCCCTCAGCAAGGTAATCTGTTTTTAGGGGGGAGGAGGGGTTCCTCTGGCTATTTTGCTGCACAGATTGCTCTGCAACCTGTACAAGTTTCATTTATTATTCATGCTGTCCATCCTTTCTTTGGCCACATCACACCTGCTTCACTGCTTTCAATGTTATGGTGTGGATCTGCTTTTTCTCACTCCTGCTAATGACCAGTAGTTTTGATAATCTCCTTTCCTGCATTGTAGCGGTAGCCTCAGATTTTTCTGAGTGGAAAGCTCCACTCCTTCACTATCATATCTTGCACTTCTAAGTGGCAAAGAGTTCCTACTGAGGCTGTAACAGTGTTTGGACCCTGCTTCTTGTACTGTTGATTATGTTTTGGCCACTGGTTGGGATTCAAACTCTCTAAACTTCCATCTTTCATATTGGATTTCTAAAGATATTACAAACAGAGGTATAACTCCTCATTTGATTTTTTGCACTTACCTGGTGCTTCATTTAGAATAGGGTTATTAAGTATGCAACACATCCAACTGTGGAATAAGGACATTGTGGGTTCTAAACTTATGCACTCTCCATTCATGAAGTTTCATAAAGTTAGGGTGTCTGATGGCATGGCCAGAATCCCCTACCAGGGACTGTCTCTCAGTTCTCATGCCGCACAATGCTATCCTTACACTTGTTTCTGATGCCAAACATCCATGCACTCCTTACATTCCTTGAATGTGACTTTTCTTGTGTTTTGGTCTGCTAGGGACTAGGGGTGTGCATTTGGCTATAGCCGAACTGAAACAAATACCCGAAAAATACCTTGTCCTTTGACAAGGTATTTTTCAGGTATCGCATAAGCCGAATACAGATCACAGTTCTGTATTTGGCTACTGGTGTAGCTGAACCCAAAAAAGCCATAATATTCCAGCTTTTTGGGGGGTCCATGTTGCTGTATGAAAAAGGTCTCATTAAACTAACTGTCACTCAGCTGCCAGTCAGCTGTTGGATTTAAATGCCTTTCTTTCTCTCCCCTATGTTGGGGAGGGAAAGAAAGGCATTTAAACATGCCCCCCGCCCCCTTCCCCTGGACTTCTCTGCAATAGTGGAGAGACCCAGGGAAGAAAGGGGCATGTTTGCCTGGCTGCCCTTGGTCTCCCCAGCCAGCCCGCCAAGGTGCGCAGGCTGGGGAGACCAAGGGCAGCCAGGCAAACATGCCTGCTTCCATTCCCGATCTTCTCCAGGCACAGGAAAGAAACGCATTGTAAACATGCTTAGGTTCCCTGCCTGCCCTTTTCCAGCTACAATCTGTCAGCTAGAGAAGGGAAGGCAGAGAGTCAGCCTTTCCCTTGTCAGTTTCACTCCCAGCTGACTAGCGAGGAGTGAAATTGACAGGGAAATCTGTAGGGTCTACCAGAGGGAAAGAAGGCATTCTAACATGCCTCCTTTCCCTCGGGTGGTGTAAATCGGACCTGAATATATTGGGGGATACCGAATATAGCCCCAATCTGAATACCTTACCTTTATTTCACTGGGGAATATCAGCATTTACCGATATTTTGGGGGGTCTGATTTACCTGAACCTGAAAAATAACGGCTTTTTTTTTTTTGCACACCCCTACTAGGGATGCAACACTACTTTGTATTGGTCTCTCAAGCTCCAAAAAGGAGTGGTCAGTGTCTTCACACAAACCATCCTTGTGGGTTGGTAGAGGCTATCACACTCTGTCTTGAGTGTGTGGCTGTTCAATGCCACTTTACATATCACAGCTGTCTCTAACATGCTTTCCCCCCCCCCCTTGTCATGCTTCTGTGCATGTATTTCAGCTCCCTGCTCCTTTATAAGACAGTTCTGGGTGAATGTCAATACCATACACTAAACAACTGTTGGGAAGGCAGCCTCTTCCTTTGAGAGCTTCACACCTACCTCCTTCACTCAGTGAGCCTGCTAATCTCCCAAAGTGGGACTGCACGGAAGCCATAACAATGAAAACAGGGTTGCACTTACCTGTAACTGGTTCATCAAGTGGTCTTCTGTGCAGGCACACATCCCTCCCTCCTTTCCTGCTGTGAACCCTTTGGAATCTTAGTTTCTTGGGGTCTTCAGTGGCAGCATGGAGAGAACTCAGGGAGTAGCACCCCTCCTCCTGGTCATGTGATAGTTTTGGTGGGAAAGCACCAGAAGGAGGGCACTCTCAGCCTACTTAAAAGTTTTGGAAAACTTTTTTGAGGCTGGCCTGTGCACACGCAGTCTCAATATGTGCCTGCACAGAGGCCCACTCGATGAACAACAGTTACAGGTTAAGTCCAACCCTCTTTTGTTCACACCCAGTTATCATTTGACTTTTCATTAATGTCACAATTTGATGCAGAACCATAACCTGTTACAGCAAGTAACAATGTTTTATGATTTTCCCTTGTCACTTACCTGACCGTGGATTCAAGTGATGGGCAGTGTAAAAGAGGATGCCATCTGGCATAAGAGGCTGGAATTGCAACTGGATGTGAACTTTGTGCCGAATGTTAAAGGACTCAAATGCCATCCAGGAAGATTGGTTGCTACTGAAAGATGCATCACTGATGGTTAGAGCTAGGAAACAAAATAAAACAGGAGGGTAGTCTTGTTTGTCCAGTCAATGGGGACAGGGCATTGCTTTAACACTAGTGATAGTCCTTGGACATTAATGTGTATTACCTTCTCACAAATCTGGTTATAACAAAAATACAAGGCTATAACAATGTACTTGTAATGAATTGCCCCACTCCCCCATTTCCCACAAACATGCAAAACAAGCCCAGAATGAGCCAGTTGTGAGGATCTGTCATCAGATGCAGCATTCAGCTTGCAACTGCAACCACTTGAAAGGAGACACTTGAGGTGGTGCATCAGATGTTGAGATCTGCATGTAGCAGTGATTGCCTGCAAATGCTTCCCCATGAGCAGGTGGCACATGCATAGTTTTCTGTGGCCACCATATACTCAGAAGTGAACAAGCAGTTGACTTTACACAAACAAAGGTACGATTGATGGGATTTGGTTTTCTAAGTGAAATATAAGAAGAAAAGGGGGAAAGTGTGTGTGTGTGTATGAGAGAGAGAGAGAGAGAGAGAGAGAGAGAGAGAGAGAGAGAGAGAGAGGATGCTGAACTGAGTAAATATGTGAATACTAAAAGGTAATGCTGTTGTCCAAGTTAGCCCCAGTACAGCTCCATTTAGGGGCAATACTTGCATCTAATGAGCCCTGAGGAGGAAGCAGTTAAATAAGCATTGCAGTGAGAATGCAGTTAGGCATCTCCTTCCTATGTGGAAGCCAGTTTCCAAGCAAGTAAAGGCACCTCTTACTGGATCAGGGTGAATAATTACAGAAAGGAAAACCACTATCATAATGGCTGGTTTTGGTGTATTATGGTAGATGCAGATAGTACTTGAGCTGGAATCAGTGACTTTTCTGAATCTGCACTAATAATTTCTAGAGTGAGTGACAACACTGGAGAGCGATGGAACCATACTTCATGTTATTTTATTAGCTGGATTCGTAAGGATGAATCAGTCTCTTGTCTGTAGTCTCTGTGTGAAAGCAATGTCTGCATCAGCCCCCAGTGAACACATTGTGAATGTAGTTTTGAAAATATATTTGCATTTTTGAAATGATGGTCTAGAAATTAAAAAGAGCATGAGTCAGCAGAATGCTTTGAGACTGAACTGTGAAATTGTTAATCACTGTCTGCCGTTCAAAATGACTTCACCCCAAACATTAGTGGTGTCCCTGTGCTGTCATTTGAAGACCTCATAAAAGGTCTGAGGCACTGCAGACTATCTCAAAGAAAAGTTATCCTTTCCACTCTGTCCTCCAAAAACAAACACTCTACATGTAAGAAGAGTTTAAAGCTATGCATCCCAATGGACCAATTAGAGTCATGGGACATGTTGATTTTGCAGGTATTGTTGCTCAAGTGCATTCCTCTATACCTGTTCAGCTTAATGGCAAGCTATACACAGCAAAATACTGCCAAGAGTAATGATTTCCATCCAGTGGCCATCTCAAAAGAGAAGACTAACATCCTGGAGAGATACTGAATTCTCACTGCTGCTAGGGATGCTGGAGCACCTGCTGGTTTGGCTCATGTTCTGCTTGCTAGTTGTGAGCAGGGAGTCCATCTTCCATCAAGCAGTTCAACTGTTCATGAACAGCTTGAACCTGCTTGGTCTGTTGCTTTCTGCCATATTCACAATCAGCAGCATTTCACACAAGTATATTTTCACACAGCCCATTGGGAGCCCTAGTTTCCCTCAAAGAAACCCTTTAAATCTCTGCAGGAGGGTAGAGAGAGGGGTGGCCGTGGCTTGGGGATGGGGCTTGGCATGTGGCTTGGTGGCATCCCTCGCACACACACCTCCAGAACACCCCCCAAATCCCCCTGCTGGAGCCACGAGGAGACCTGGCAACCCTATTTGGCTGGAATGCATATGCATTTTTGCACCCTCTTAAGGATGTCATTGTCCCCCCTTCTTTAATTACAACCTAGTGCACATAAAATGAGTCCCAAGGCAAGAAGAAATCCAGCTCCATGACCACAGCTACAGTGAACTGCAATTATGTTTGAGGCAAGGAGATCTGAGGCTTGCCTCAAAAATGATTGCAGCTATCCAAAATAGCATGTTTGCCTGCTGAATATGTTCAGTGTGAAGTCTGTGGTTCTTCTAGCTGCCATGCAAAATAATAAATTAATGTGAACAATGGAGAAAAGTGTTCAGTCTGAGCAGTATAAATTGGTGCCCAATGATCTTTTAAAAAAAGAGTGTTAGGACATTTCCTGTACATGTGTGAATCCTGGGACAGCTCTACAATCAAGTCTTAGAATCTGTACCACAATGTGCAACTAACGAATGACAACAAGCCAGTATGCTTGTCAATAATCAGAGCCGCTCTTTGAGTCTTTATATTTCCTAGTATTCAATTATGAGTGGGGACATGCAACAAAATGTGGCAGATTGTTTTTAGGTTACCCAAAGATGGCTGCAAAAGTAGTATAGTCCCAACTTTTCATCTCTCCTTGGTCATACTGAAAGCAACCTGTATTCAACCTTCCAGCCATCCTTGAGGCTGTGACAGCATGATTTCTGGGACAATCCCAGATTGTTCCTGTTTACTTGGCATTCTTGGGGCTGAAAATGGCCACTGGGGCAATGTGTACAGCTGCTTCTCCACCCCAACAATGGGGACAAAATGGCAAACCTTAAGGACTTGTGGAGGGTGGAAAATCTTCCATTGTTGCCCACTGTTTCCTTGCCTCATGCTCTGCAACTTCCTTACATCTCCTGACTGAATACTTTTCTCCCTTCTCCTCCCTTTAGCCTTAAGAAAAAAGTGGACAGTTCCTCCTTTGGCTGTCATTTTCTTTCCTGTCTCTCCTTTCAACCCCTGCAGCCTCTGTCTTTGGCAACTCATAGCCTTTTCATCTCTCTCTTTCTTTCTCTGTGGGTGGTGGGTGCATGGGTGTGTCACAAAACAACAGGAAGTATCGATTTACTATATTTGAATGTTAGGGTTTCTCTCTCTCTCTCTCTCTCTCTCTCTCTCTCACACACACACACTCACACACACACACACACACTGTCTGCATATAGATTTAGGTGGGAAGCTGTGTTGGTTTGAAGCAGTAGAACAAAGTTTGAGTCCACCTTTTAAGACCAAGGAAGTTTTATTCCGGGTATAAGTTTCCGTGTGCATGCACACTTCTTCAGATACACATGCCCTTTTCACTGAGGATACCAGGAGCTACTTTCTGCTTGCAAAACACATACCTTACATGAGGTCAAGGGATCAAGGGGCTATGAACTTACCACTGCCTGTGCATAGCACAGTTCTAAGTTCAGTTCTACTCTTTTGTGTACTCCAAAAGTCCCATCTACTGCTTTCCAGAGAACGGGCAGACATGTGAACAAATACACGTTGATCCCTCCATGCGCCCAGATTTGTTCCCATGCAGAAGGGCATACCATTCAAGCAAAGAGTCTAGTCATATAAAATTATCCTGTGCTGCCATCTATAGACCACTTTGAAAGACTGCACTTTTGGCATGGTTATATGTTTCAAATACTAATGAAATGGCAAGCATTCTCTGCCCAAGTCTTCTGTAACCACAGCTCTTGCAATTTATATTTACAGTCCAGGGTATACATGATCATTTGTATTGTGGAGGGGTACACCTCCTCTTCATTCTCAGCTCTTCCCTGTCCAGCTTCTGTGCGCTATGTCATGCTTGACCTTGTTGTTCTTCCCAGCTGCAATTAACTCGGCTGGGAAAGCTAACGGTTTTTGCAGTTTGCCCACTTGCCTGCTTGCTTTAGCCCACACGCACGAACAATAGTCATTGGCTTCAGCTCATGGGGGGGGGGGACGTTTGATTACACTATAAGTCAGAGGCCCTTATACTGACAGCTATTCCTGACACAAGCTGTATACGTGTACTTTAGTACTGGGACCATCAATAAACACTTCTTCTTATGAAGCCTGGTGTGGTGTGACCTGACTAGGGACCCTGACATTACTGTATTTTGTGAAGACTCCAGTTGACTTCTTGCCTAAAGATGTAATTCAAGTCAGGGGTGGGGTGGGGGATATTAGAAAGTGAAGTATTAGAACCTAATTTACTATTTTTTATGGATCAAACCCACAAAGCATGCAAACATGAAACTACTTTATATGGAGTAATATCATTAGTCTATTCATTTCATGCTCCCCCTTTTCCCCAATGGGGACCCAACATTGCTTACTACATCAGTCTCTCCTCTGTTTTAGCCTTATTTATTTATTTATTTATTATTTGCATTTTTATCCCGCCCTCCCCGGAGGCTCAGGGCGGCTAACAGGGCATGTCGCCACATAAAATAGAAAACAGTACAAAATTTCTTAAAATACATCAGCATTAAAACAATAATAGTGCTCCTCTCAGCTAAATTCCAATTTACAATTTCTAAAAAAGATGGCCGCCCCCTAGACGTCCCGTTCTCGCCCATAATGCAACGATTGCGGGGCATTGATGATACATGCCCCACATCATGATGTCCATATATAGGGCGTAGATGGTAAACTCATGCGATGGTGGTGCATTAGTGGTGGTGGTGGTGGTGGCGGCTCCTATTCAAAAGCCTGGCGGAAGAGCTCCGTCTTGCAGGCCCTGCGGAACTGTGAGAGGTCCCGCAGAGCCCTGATCTCCTCTGGGAGCTCATTCCACCAGATAGGAGCCGCCACCGAAAACGCCCTATTCCTGGTCATGGTTAATCTGATGGACCGGGGACCTGGAACATCCAACAGATGTTGGGTCCCCGACCGTAGTGCCCTTGGGGGAACATACGGGGCAAGGCGGTCCCTTAGGTAAACTGGTCCCTGACCATATAGGGCTTTAAAGGTAATAACCAGCACTTTGAAGCGAACCCGGTAAGCTATTGGCAACCAGTGCAGCGCTTTCAGCACAGGCTGGATGTGATCTCGTCTAGGGAGATCCATCAACAGCCTGGCCGCAGCATTCTGCACCAGTTGCAGCTTCCGAATTTGCGACAAAGGCAGCCCCATGTAGAGAGCGTTAC